AGCGTTCAGGGTTTGGGGTACCTATACATCCTAAACCCTAAATCCGAAACCCTGAATTGTTAAACCCCATAAACCTGCTTCAGGGATTTGTAAGATAATTGTACGCTCCAATCATGGGCACACAGCTAAGCCTGACTCGAAAAAATCTGATGCAGTGCCGGCGGAACCCCAACTAAGGGCCCTGGACCTTGAACTCTGAACCCCGAACCCTAAACTTCCGCCTTATATATCTTATTTACACTCAGCCGCTGTAGACCTGACGTCTCTGGCACTTCTTCCTGCCGGAAACCCCAGGCCGGGGTGTCACTGCCATGTACAGTAGAAGAACCGGCTTGCTCCATGTACTGCTCGAAGTGAGGTTGACTTCAGGATTGTGCGAGTAAGCTTGATGGTAGCGCAAAAGGAGCCCGAAAACCACACTCACCGACATTCCGAAGAAGCCCTTATGTGGACTCACCAAAGTCCCACGCCTTTGCCAGGTTCGTGGGCACCACCCGGGCGGACTGGGAAAGATTCCTGGCATTGGCTGTTTCAGGGTCAAAGGCTCAACAACCAACATTCAATCGGTGGCTAGCTTGAATTGAATCGATTTGAAAGAAACCTTATATCCCACCCAAGGTCTGAACGGAACTCTTGCGGAACCCTGATACAAGGAGCTCTTCGTGTAATCGCCTACCGACACCCTTTAAAGGAACCTACATATGCATTCCCATGTCCTTGGTCAAGGACTCCTGTTCGGGATCGTTCTATACAACTACAAGGGCGTGTCAGCTCTTGTGGGGAGCATTTGTGTAGTCGTTCATTCGGACAAAAGCCAGAAAAACGGCGGTTCAACCCTGTAGCCAAGTGTAGCCCGATTCTCCTTTTGCGATAGTTTGGCGCGCGCAAGCAGTCCGATTCTCTATGCTGTTTTCGCTTTGCGTCTGAACCGCACTATCCGGCTCAAGCTCCGAGCACTAAACAAAATAGCAAACGAACAGTCTAATCCTTTCGGGGCCTTCTGAGAAGCGCCCTCAAATCCAAGGGCTCCACGAAGCGGCAAGCTTAAGGCTTTAAGGTCCTCGAAGTGCTCTTCACACTGCGCGAGTTCATGGTCCTGGGTTGCGAGGCTGCTTCGATGAGGCCGGAGGTTTGATCATACTTGTTTAAAGGAAACCACAGGTGGGGAGTTTAGGGTATATAGGGCTTCTATAAGGCTTCTAGAAGGTATATAGACCTTCTATAAGGCGGTAACTGCCCACCTGAGAATGTTCTAGACTTGTAGATCTGACCAAGACTGCAGATCCATGCAAGGAACATCTGCACATAAGTTGCTACGACATGAGGTACGAGGTGAAGTACCTGCGGAATGAACCCAGCAAAACTCAAACAGGAGATCTGCGTACACAACGAAACACGCAAACCGCAGCCTCGACAGGGGGCAGGTTTTTTGAAACCCGGATCTGACTGTTGGCCTTTGGGCGCGAACTGAACGACTCGTCCTGGTACCCTTGCATGCAAGGATAAGGTATAAGTACCATGACATCTCTGTGCTGTGTGTATGTCATATATATATATATGTATATATATATGTATATATATATATATATGTCGGTATATGCGCGGCACGGCATATAACATCAACCAACCAACATGTGCGAATATGAAAACTGCGAAGCATTGCATAACAGTCGGCTTCTGCATACAAATCGTTTCCACGAGCCCCAGCGACAAGGTACGCCTTACTTAACACCGTCTCAGCAGAAAACTGGCTCTTGGCTCTTGATGCCTGTGCTATCGTACGCCCAACCGCAAAACCATATCAATCCAATCAAAAGCGACAAAACTCAGCAAACTCACGCGTAAAACCCTAAACCTATGAATCCTAAGACAAATCTCAAAATCCCAAACCCTCAACCCTTTAAGCTCTAACACCCTAGACCAAAAGCCCTAATCCCTGAACGGCACTGAACGGCCCAGATCCCGTTGCAGGAGGGTCCTCAGCCCCTGAATCCGGTAGGGTGCATCTTGGGGATCCAAGCCTCATCGTCAAGGTTTGGGGTTTAGGATTTAGGGTTTAGGGTCTATAGGATTCAGTTTGGGGGTTTAGGGGTTCGGGGGTTCAGGGGGTTTCGAGTTTAGGATGAATGATATAGGTCCGGTACTTATATCCTGTAGGGTTGCCAGATGGTGTTGGTGAGGGTCATAAACCCTACACCCTAAGTCCTAAACCCTTAAACCCTGGATTTATCCTAAGCTCTGAAGGCCCTAAACCTTATCAGCATTAGGGTTTAGGGCCTTATGAGCTTAGGGTTTAGGGCCTTAGGAGCTTACGGCCTTCGCTCTTAAAGCCCTAAACCCTAAGCTCCTAAGGCCCTAAGCCCTAAGCTCTTAAGGGCCCTAAAACCCTAAGGTCTTAAGGCCCTAAAGCCCTAATGCTACAAAGCAAGTTCCAGGCGATGCCGCCTGCGGCCCTTTGACTTCGATTCTCTTCGAGCCGACCAGGCTTCAGGGCGACAAAATGAACCCCTAAATCCTTAGGGGCCGAGTACCTTAGCCCAAAAAGGGTTAACCTTTGGAATCATAATAGGTTTATGTAAGCCCCAAAAGGCTAAAGGTTGCCTACTCAGCCCCTAAGAATCGTAATATCAGGGCCTACAGATAGTTACCAGTAATGTTGTTTTGGGGGAGCTCCTTGTTATAATTATAGAGTATCATTTATAGTATGATCTACCCCAAAAACTCTATTCTAATTGTTAAGCCCCCAAGCCGTAAGCCGATTTAGCTTGAGGGCTAAGGGTGATTGAGGGTCTAGGGCTTATGGTTTAGAGTTCGAGGGCCTTTACGTTTGAGGCCTGAGGATCCAGGGTTCTTTGCTTGGGGTTGAGGCTTAGGGTTAGGGTTTAGGGTTTGGGTTTCGGTGGTGGTGTGGTCAGGCTTTTTGCACGGCCTCTGAATGAGATGCCATGCCACTCATGGTTCGGTGGCGCTTGAAGGGGCTTTGGATTGCGGGGTGGGATGGGAAGGTTTGTGGCTCTGAAAAGCACCTTGAGGAAGCTCATGCAACCCCGGTGAAGGTAGGCTTATGGTTGATGATGTAAACCCGGCATTACCCAGCATAATAAAGGAATATAGCATAATTCCCATAGTTTAGCGTCGTTAAGGTAAAGCAGGATTTATGTCATCAACAGTAT